CAGCCCAGAGCCTCTTGGTGGCTGCTACACACAAGTAGACAAGCCAAAACCATGTTCTGCACCATGCCAGAACACTATAAAGACCAACCTCCAGCCCTGCTGCCACCATGCCCTTCAGCAGCTCCACTTATCTCCTCCCCAGGAGCTTCTGTGCCTCTGTTTCCCTTCTCCCTCACTTGGTTTCATCGGCAGCCTTGCTCTCCATGCTCACATCCTCCTACCAAATGTTTCCTTGGTTCCCTTCTCTGAGGGACAGCACTGATCCCACCACTCCCACCCTAGCATGAGCCTAGGTCTGCACAACCCAAGCTCTGCTGCTCAGCCTGACTGCCAACCCACTCCAGGGCAAATGTGGGTCCCTGTGCAAGGCTGCTACTGGAGAGCAGGACTCACCTGGGGAATGGGGGGTAGGAAGTAGCCTGAGGGGGTCTGAAAGGAGCCCAGCAGAGGGCCAGGCAGAGCCCTCATGGTGGCTAATCTCTGCATGTACTGGTTGGTGAGGATTGCTTTCCGCTCCTCTTTCCTTTGAGCGAGCGCGACATAGAGAGGCTTAGTGCTGACAATCCGCCCATTCATTTCTGTCACAGCCTTGGTAGCCTCTTCTGGAGAGGAAAAACATACAAACCCAAACCCTTTGCTGTGGCCACCGTCCATCATCACCTAAAATTAGATTAGAACAAGACAGTTAAGTTCACAGCTCACTGCAGCACTTGCAAAATACGATGCAGTGAGAGGAGGGGTGGGATCCACCAGCCACGAGCACCCCATTGCAGCCCCCACATCCAGGGTGGGATGGATGGGGCTGCATCTTTTAGAGATGTTTCTCTAGGGAAGGGGAGGATTTGCTCAGGCAAAACCAGTAGGTTTGAGAAATAAAAGTGGCAGAGTCTGGACCAGCCTGAGATCTAGAGCCTGTAATCTTCCATGGGAGAGTCTGTCCCCCAGCTCTGCAGGGGCCACAGACCAGCAATGCTCAAGTGCTTAATGCTGCAGGAGCAAGAAAGGGATGGGGATTAGTGGGACACTGTGCCCTGCAACAGCCTTCTGGAGAAGCCTGATACCAGTCTTGGTGAGAAGACTGACACTTCCATGGTTTTCCAAAAGGCCAAACACCAGCCTGTCACCTCTCTGTCCCTTGGAGCAAGGTGACTTATGGCTCATTTCCATTTGTATCAGTGTCACATCAGTTCCAACCCAAAGAGCAGCTGGGCAATATTCACAGTGTTCTGGCTTTAAGGTCGTGCACTCAGCACCTCACCAGGGCTGGGGAAACTTGGCAAAGCTACAAAATAGTATTTACTCCACAGGACAGTGTGGGGTGCAAGTGGCACATCTCTCACACCTGGCTTGAGGTACAAGCCATCAGCAGGGAACTGTAACTTTGGAGGATGATAATCTTGATACTTTTCCAGGCGCTGAGTACAACAGTTGCCTGATCCCAGGAGCCCAGCAACATTCCCAGTCCCTCACCTTGGCACTGGTGATGGCGCCATAAGGAGAGAACTCCTTCCTCAGCCTGTCATCATCTATCCCATCATCCAGGTTCTTCACATACAGATTGACCCCCTGCAAATAGGTGAAAAAAGCATCTTGGGATCCCAAAGTTTACAGTAGCTTTTCAATCTGATGTGTGTTTCACCAGCTGCTCAGCCAGAGGGTGAAATCCCACAGACACATCCCCCACATGTGACATGGAGAGGGGCCAGGACCATGCATATGCTGCACTCACAAGTGAGACACCCCAAGTGAAAAAGGCACCCAGACCATCACTGTGAAGCTCCTCCAAGACCTCGGGAAACCACCTTATTTCCAGACTAATATTTTAATTGCTGGAGAAGAGCAGCTCTATTTGTTCACATGCCAACATAATCCTGAGCTTAGATCTCTCTCCTCTTTCCTGATACTGCTTTCCAGGACATTTCCAGGCAGTGACTGGACCCCTGTGCGTGCCTTTAATTGCAGAAGGGACTGAGTGCACTGATCTGCTCTGGAGAGCCCCATGCTGGTGTGCATGCCTTTAATTGCAGAAGGGACTGAGCGCACTGATCTGCTCTGGAGAGCCCCATGCTGTACCCAAGCGAAGGATGTCCCTGGATGGCCAGGGCATGTCCCTGTGGTAGACCTGCAGGATGCTGCATCCTGCTGTTCCCTTACCTGGTACTTGCTCATTCGCTCCTGTTTCATCTGCTCAAATTTCCGTTTCAGCTCACTATGCCTTTAATTGCAGAAGGGACTGAGCGCACTGATCTGCTCTGGAGAGCCCCATGCTGTACCCAAGCGAAGGATGTCCCTGGATGGCCAGGGCATGTCCCTGTGGTAGACCTGCAGGATGCTGCATCCTGCTGTTCCCTTACCTGGTACTTGCTCATTCGCTCCTGTTTCATCTGCTCAAATTTCCGTTTCAGCTCACTCTGGCGCTCCAACCGCTTCTGGGCTCGGCCCACGTACACCATCCGCCCATTGATCTCCTTCCCATTCATGTCAGCCACCGCCTGCCAGCAGAGGGAAGAGCTCTGAGCTC